CCCCCGTGGCCTGGAACACATTCATACCTAAAGGTTCCTATGTAGTTCCTTTTTGTGGTTCCCTGGATCTTTCTGGTTGAAACCATTTATTTCTAGTTCCTATATAAATAACCCAGTCTTAGGTAAACTTAAGATGAAAGATCTTGATGTTGTAAGTCAGAAAACTACTTCTTGAAATTCTTATAAGCTAGAATTTCTTCTTGGAAAACCGAAACCAGTTCTTGATATTCTCGAGAATCGGAAATTCATTCTTGAAATTCTTATATCATCTTGAGCATCAGGCACAGTCATTTTCAAGCAGAGATATTCGGATTGAGCAAGATGGGGTTTGCTTGTAAGTTGACGTCAACATCTTGATATGGCTCGAGCATGTTCATGTCCGTATATGTGGGAAGCAGCACCGAATATCGTATCACAACATCCTTCTTCATCTTGTCTAAGTTGCATGAACAGCCGAAGCACAACAAAAGCTTTGCTATCAACAAACAAACAACATCTTCTATGCTTGATTGAGCCCATCCTCGAGTGCTGCTCCGAACTCAACAGATGCTGAACAAGGTTGTTGCTTGCTTGCTTGAATACATGCAGTCAGCTTGGCACATGCTTGGCCCTTGAACTGTTCGCTTGTACATGTTATGCATCATGCCTGTAGCTTCTCAAGCGACTCAAGTGATGTCCTGATTGCATACACATTAGTCAATGACAGCAGGATCTTGCATAATATATTTGCTATTGTCTCGTAGTGATTTTGGCTTGGATTGGTATCTTCGGATTGCTCTAGCCATGGCGGAAGAGCCTAAGCAGGTTCTGAAAAGGCAGATGAAGAATATTATTGAGGCAAGAGACCGCAGTATTGAGGTCAATATGTTGCATAAATAAACAGTGTTGTGAGCTCTGGCAGGCTGCGTCAGTGGATGAAGAGCTGAAAGCTCGAACGATTCACATTCACGTCTTCGTTATGTGGCCGATGAACGAAAAGGGCAAGCTCCGTAAGCCATCAACTGATGCTATCAAACTCAACAAGGACGTTGATGTATGCCCAAACTGCTCTGTTTTAGCTACAGACTTGCACATATGTTGATAAACATGTTGTGGAAGATTCTGCTGCGCCACTTCGTGCCCAACTTCGCAAGCCACCCTCAAGTCGCACGTATTCCAGTGATTGCCCCGGTACTGGCTATGATAGCCAAAGAGTTCGGCGTGGCTTTGCTGAATTTTTGAGCAAATTGCATATTTCAGATTTCCAATTGCACTGCACTGAGACTGAGACAGGTGCAGATCCTGGAGCCGCAAATCAATGCGGATGCTCATGCTATCAAGAGCTTTCTAATCGCTCATAAGAGTCGCTTGTCTGCGGGGTAGTGTTCCCAAGTGTAATATAAAGGTGTTTTTGCAGTTGTAACTATCTGAGGGCTTATGGAACGTTCGGATGTGCAGCGTGATCCCGATGTCCAAATGCTGAGTGTCCTTGGTGTTGCAAATGCATGCATGAACATGGCAGCAACAACTTTGCAGCATGGCAGTCTAGACAACTCAGTACAACAAGCATGCATGATCTGATTGCTGTGGCTTGTTTCTGCTTTGCTGAAGGATTTGTATCGTGCTCGTCTTGGGGATGAAGGTGCTTTGGCTGTGTATCGACAGGCTCACAGGCCAAATCATCGGAGGAGGGCTGCAGGGCCAGAGGAGGCTAACGATGAAGAAGAGGGTGAGCTGGAGGAGGGAGGGGAGGAAGGGGAGGAAGGGGAGGAGGCTGCTCCCGATGATGCTGCTACCGAGCCTGAGGGGGAGGGGGTTCATGAAGGCCCGAATGTCGCGCCGTGGCTGGGAGTGGCGGCAATCTTTGACTTGCCGGATGGTGAGAGCGACCCAGAGCTGGAGGGGGATGGATCGTCAATGTGCAGTGAAGAAAGGTTTGGAGCTGACCTTTTGTCAGCTCCATCGGTGGGCTCCTCTGATCCGGATTCCCAGGATACGATGACAGGTGGGGAATTCGAATAATAAGAATAAGATCTGGGATATGATTGATATGAAGCTTGTTGATGGTTGTAATCATGCAAACATGCTAATCTGCCAGATGGTCCGCCCTCTGCCAAGAAGCCCACTTGGACCGATGAGAGTTTCGATGATGTGGAGATTACATTTGAAGCTCCGGCGCCAGGCATTCGTAGTGGGCATCTTGTGAGAGTTGCTACTTCCACTCGTCCCACTCCTGGTAGTTTGCTGTATAATTTGTTATAGGTTCTGGAAGCAATGCTTACGCGTATCTGAAGCAGAAGCTGGCGAAATTGGCTCTTTCGGCCCAGTCAGCCCAGTCGCTCGTCTTTGTATCAAGCAAGCCCCCCCCCAGTCCCTGTTGTGCTCCAACCTGTGCTGCTTGTGCTTGTCTGCCGAGCAAACATATATGCTGTGCTGCTACATGTCATCGCAGGAAGCTACCAAGTGTGCAAGTCCATGCGGGCCCTGGCCTCACGGATAATCTGGATACCCAGATCGTGGAAGGCCATGTGCTGGACGATCCTCTGCTCCACGAGCTTGTATATCCTGGGTTTGCTTTAGGGAACAGAGATCTTCTTATTTTTGCTTCTGGGTTGGAACACCTTATCTTATTGTACGAATCTTGTTGTTGCATGTTGCTAAGGAAGCTGCATCATTGCTACGATCGTCTGGGAGTCATGAGGATGTTACAGATTGAGGTTGACGTGATATCATCCTGTCTCTGTGTTGTTCATGGGCTTTGGTAGTTGTGCAGGACACAGCAGCCTCGCCAGTGGCTGTCAGCAGTGATGCTGGGAAGCACGGTTGCATGATCTTGACTATCTTTATTGCTATCTTTTCCTACCCTTGATTATGCATGCATGTATACTTCTCATGAGATAGTATAATATATTGCATATTTGTCTCATTCAAAACATGAGGTCGGATGCAACAACCAAGCAGCTTGGAGATCACCTGAGGGAAGAGCAGGAGCTTCCGAATATGTCCCCAGAGGTCCCCCCGCTTGTGCGTGCTGACGCCACAGAATGGAAGCCGGAGGAGTTGCCCATCACCCCCACCAAATCAAACTTGCTGCCACCTGTGTCGTGGCTAGTTGCTACGGAGCCGGAGCATGTTGACGAGAGGTCGGAGGATGATGAGGAGTCGGAGAAGGATTCCGTAAGTCTGGAGGTCAAGGATGAGGATGACTCCGATCATGAGCCACTGATGCGCGGTGTAGGTGCTGTGGAGTTCTTGCGAGCCAACGGTGTGCAGCTTGGGCATGAGGAGAGCACAGGAGCAGACCAGGATGA